CTATGTACCCGTGTGCAGAAAATACTGGTAATCGCCCATGTATATGCAATACTGAACATCACCTATGTACAGGCAAATTCGACATCACCATTTACACACAGTACTGTTCATAAACCATGTACAGACAATACTTGTTATTAACTAGCATTGAACATCACCCATATACAGGCAGTTATGAACATCACCCATTTACAGACGGTACTGAACATCACCCGTGTACAGACGGTACTCAACCTCACCCATGTACACAAAGTCTCAGATATTGTCCATGCAGACAGTACTGTATCTAATGAAGAAGCTATTACACATAGTAATCTACCATAGTTTCACACATGCACTCTGTGACCAAATCGCACGTGCAGAGCAAGGCTGCGTCACGTATGAGCTCGCTCCGCTCTCGCGTTCCCGGTATGGAAGACAATGGTTAATTGACGTCTCGATTCCATGTCCGGGGTATTGCCGTTCATTAGCAGGAATTAATTGGTTTACACTATGATTATAAAGAGTTATTTAATTACGTTGATTCGAGCGCAGTGGAGAAGTCGATATCGCTAATACGGCATAATAGAGAGAAGGTGTGGGGAGAATGACATCTCTATACCAGCTGCAGAGGCTGTGGTGTGCACAGAAATGGCAATAAACTAAATTGCATAACTCTCGAGAAATAATCGGGGCACGGGCTTGACGCATCATCTTGATACTGTTTCTTGCTGGGGGAAATCATTTTAGGTATTCATAATTCAAAATCTTTAACCTGAAAACCATATCAATTTTCAGTGTTATGTTAAACCAATAATCTTAATCACCATTTCACAAAGCTAACATATATGTTGTAAGTCAGTACAGAACAGATATGGGGTTCTAGAATGATTCTCATGACTAAGTGTGTGCGGCAGCATCGACCTAACCACCTACGGTGACAACGGAATCCATTTATATATTGAATTCTTGAGTACAATGCTAATCATCTTCTTAACGCTAGAAAATGCGTTCCATTATCTCTATGTTTTTAAATGAAGATGTAACAAAGCGCGAGGGAATCTCATCCTTAATGATTTGTGGTGGCATGGTCCGCTTTGAATTCGATTGATCGCTTACCAATCCGCGGTAGAGCCAGTTCGTATATCTATATAAATTTCCGAACGGACGGCTCCAATAAGTGTAGGATTAATATTAAGTGCGGGATTGATGTATTGCACGTGCCTTTGAATTTTGTCCTGAACCATCGGTATTGGAAACTGTGATAAATGTAAGGTCTCATTCTGTTGTAATTTAATACATTGAATATAAATTGGGTGTCTAATAACGAGATGAATGAATGGCGGAAGGACCAACCCCAGTGGTCCTGATCTATCTATATAGCGCTCGTGCGTGATTGATTCACATCCCGCAGTACACAGACAGGCTGTATCAATGGTAGTTCGCTAAATTACATCTTATCCCATAATGTCGACTGAAGAAATCAGCGAATGTTCACTTTCCAGTTCCGGTAAAGGAAGTATATTCAATGGGTCATATATACATATATATATATTTAATTGATAAAACGAGAAAAGTCATCAATAGAATACATCAGATGATAACGTTTGATTTGATGATTTATATGAAACGGTTTTCATAAAACTTGGATTTCGACTCTAGGAAAGCGCATTGAATTTTCTTCAAAAGATTTATGCCTAATTACATACAAGGCAATTTATGTTTGTAATTAGGTTTAAAAAATGACGTGAAAGCGATATAATTCAAGTAAATACTGAACTTTTTATTCAAATATATTTACATTGGATTTTCGTTTTATCGTTGTGCCGCATGAAAATACATGTTTGTGAAACCATAAAAGCACTTGGCCAGGTGACTACTCTGAAAGGTGACGTTGGGAGTATTATCGCAACCATACTTTCGCTTTTCAGGAGCTTAACGAACACACGTTTGGGCAATACAAGTATACTAAGAATGTAAATGACTAGTTCTTCATTGCATTGTAGCTGAATTGTATTAAAACATGTTGTTCAGAAACCATTATCTACCAAAATCTGTCAAAAGGAAGCACAGTTGTGTCCAAATTGTTTCAAGGATTATCGCATTTGGACTTGCAGTATAGGAATGAACAGTGCATGTTGCAAGACTAGAACACGTTTCGGTTTTTCTGGTGACTATATATGTGACGTCATCAGTCTTATACATCACTTAGTGAACTAACTGTAGGAGGGTGAAGAAACCTGATACAAGATACATCTAGGTGACAATATTCTATCAATTCGGCACATCCTTGGTGAATCGTTAGAACTCCTTCCTCGATACCCCAGGGGTTACGTTCACTACCACTCTCTCCACCTCTGGAACATGTCATGTTAAAATTGAAAGTTCCATGTGCTACACCTTGTGGACAAAACTAGTTTTATCATTTCATCCTGGAAATATATTGAACGTTGTGTCGAAAACATAATGATTGCGAAATCTTCACTCAATTTGAACATTTGTCGTATATTTCTAAGCACTCCTGTAAAATGTGTTATTTCCCGTGTACGGATTATTCAAAACATCAGGTTCTGACATATAAATGATAAACGGAAATGGGGAATGCTGGGGAATAACACTCTGGTTGGCATTTTGAATCGAACAGAATACGACTCATTGAAAAGCACCTTTCAAAATACAAATTCAGAATTCATGTAACAAAAGAATAAAATAGTTGAAGAACTGACAAAGCAAATGACACTTTGATTGCATTATCATTTCCATTTTCTTCAATTTTACATCGTCCTTGAAATGTCTGGAATAATGACATTTTGTCATGTCTTCTGTTGAATTGAAGAAGGAAAGAGTCGACCTTCGCATGAAAATAGTTACCAAAAGCCATTGTGAGATGAATTTGTTTACAAAAATTATGTCGAAAATATTAAATTCGAAATTATAAACTACAAAAACAGGAATTCTACATTGTTAAACAAAAAACAAAATGTGACACAAATCTGGCAAATTTTCATTTATTCGTGGGGCAATGTTGATTCGATACTCAACCAAATTATGTAAGATATCGTCTATTATCCAATGAGAATTGTTTATCTAAAACTGGCAACTTGCCATACACAAATGTGTGTTGTTTATTTTGAAAATGATTGGGATTGTGTAAAGGCACCGTAAGCGTACATGCACCATACTATGAACTGTTGCGATCTGATTATTAGAGGAACAAGTATGTGTTCGTAGTCAGCACTAGTCAGATCAATTTTCGATTATCATTATAGTTAACGTATTCCAAGATCACGGCCATTCATATCATGATATCATCTGAACGTTTGTTTTCTTGCTGCTATACTCTTGCAAATACATACATCAAATGGTGTAGTATTTTTATGAAGACTATATTTTTCTGTTTCTGTGAAGAAAACTTAACATACATAGATTTAATACCATACATATCACTCAGCCAATCTTAGACTTTTAGGCAAAATTATCGGCAATATTATTTGTCTGTCTGTATTATCGGGACAAGGTTTACATAAAACTACACGACGACCAGTCAGACTTACAAGTCATATAAGGTAAAGAGATAAAAGTTATACGATAAAGTACATCCATAGCGTGACGACATCAGAAAAAAAGTAACACGATATAAATCATTGCTTTTCTCATAAAAAGATGCTTCATCTTACAAAACGCTTCCGGGATGTTCCGTTTTCATTTTGATTGGAATAAAAATGGTATTGCAAATGTGTTTATCAAATTACAAAGGCCAGATTCAAGAACAATGTTGCAATCTCATACGCCATGTCCTCCCGTGATCGCATTACAAGTTACACGATCACAAAGTATTGGTGATCCCTATCACATTTTCATTGGCGTTTCCGAGAGTCATGATATTTCTGGAAAGCAATAAAGTCTATGTCAAAACGTCCTGTATAAGAAGTGATGGAAAGGAAAGTCGGACCTACGCGAATTTAATATAAATTTATAGTTAGAGAATGTCGCCTATCTGCCAGTTCCAAACTAGACAATATACATTATTTCTTTTTTGTAATAGAAACCAAGAGGAAACGGAAAAGATACTACAGTATGGCATGTTTATTTGATATGGTTAGGATGGATGATCTAGATAACGTTTTTCAGCTGGCTTTCGTTCTCTGCAGACTACGGTGTAACAAAATATTTCGTACATGTAATGATAAATGAAACTTGGCAAGCATCAAACAATGTACTTTACATGTGTTGCTTGAAAAACCTTCGTATAACCAATATTCTCAGAGAAGAAGATTTTTTCTAGTATGGATAGTATTTGTGATAACAATTTCACGATTTAATCTTTGTGACAACAATGCATGGACTTGTATGTAATTTTCCTTGTTTGTGTTCATTGATTCAGTGATAGCCCGGAGAAATTATACAGGAGTCTTGTGGAATTTGTTTTATTGCGTGGCTGATGAAACAAAGACGCTTACCATTCCAGAACACGTGATCTTACTCTTCTTGTACTAAGTAGTAATAGTTCGTATGATGCTTGCACTGTACTAATAGTTCTTTTGTTCATGATCATCCATTGTTACAACGATTTGGGGTTTGGATTTAAAGTTTGTACTTATTTCAGTATTTTCTTTCTTTTTTTTCTTCCCTCAATATAAATGGAATACATTTAGTGATATCCAATCAAAATATGAACCGTCTGTGTCAATCGAAGAGCCTGCAGATAAAACGTTTTCCATACACTATACTTTTCGCTCGTATGCATCACGTAACTGAGCCGCGTAGACGGGTAATAGAAAGGTCTGCGTATGTCGGATTTTACAATGACAAGACCAGCTTTTCCACAACAGTTTTTAACGACTGGTCTTCCAGAACTTAACGCCATGTCGCCTGGAGTCTGTCTGTAAACAATTCTTGTTTATTGCTACTCTTTCATTCCGGGAAGCTCTATTTGCACGAACACGTCAGGGTTGCATTCGGTATACCGTTGGCCCTGTCTGGGAAATCAGAGGAGTTCGAGATTCATTTTTTATCGGAGTATGACATTTGCTGAGTTCATATGTAAACATATGGTTGAGGTATGTCATTATGGTAGAATTAGGATGGTTGTCTATGGAAATATTGGAAAAAATCACAACGAGGAATTCTTTTGGAATTGGTTGATCGTAGATATCCTAGAAATACATATCTGATTTTCAAAATGTCAAAACTACCGCTCGGGATGTTTCATGTCCTTTTTTTCTTTTTCTTTCTTCTTTGTTTTTTTTTTTTATTGCTTTAATGTTTTTTTTTAATTCTATTTTTCCGTATCAAATTCGCTGATTTTTATCTCTGCTTGAATTAATTCATTAAGATCAAATATTGAAATGATGTGATTTCCGCAGCCCATTCACATACTTTTTTATATTACGCACCATATTCAAAAGGTTGTTTTACAGACCAATTAAGTTTTTTTCCGTCCTAGTCATGTAAATGAAATATTGTTGTTTTAAAGTAATCAAATCGGGAATCAGCATATGACCATTTCTGATATGTTAATGATACAATGTCCTCGATACTCTAGGGGTTAAGATCACTTTCGCTTCCTGCAACTCTGAAACATGGCAGGACAAGACTGAAGGTTCCATGTGTGACACCTTGTGGACAAGACGAAAAGACTGGTTTTTATGCTTTGATGTACATCAAACGAATATTTGAGTTCGCATAACGGTATATTAAACTGACTTTGAAGTTTGGTGTCGCTCCTTTGTAATGTTCAAAATGAGCGTATCAGTGTGTGATTGACCAGTTATTTTGTCCTGGAACCAATCAAATTACTTCGCTTGTGCCTTCAGTTTTGCCAGGACATGTTCCAGGGATGCAGAGAGCGAAAGTGATCGTAACCCCAGTAGTATCGAGGATGATTATACAATGTCGTATCTACAGCGTAATTTGAATTAAGGTGTATGATGACACTACATTTCTAATTGTTTGTACGGTTTCAGACTGAAGCCACTTCCGTGATGAAGCATGCCGGGAAATTTTGGGAGCACCTTATAGAGACCTCTGTGACATTGTTATGGATCGCCTCTCAAGGTAACGTCATCCTAATATATATTATATACTTACCATTGTCAAAACAATGTAGCACCAACATACCGAATTGACATCTTTAATCTAAAAAGGATCGTTACAATTGTTGAAGAATAAAAATGAATATTTTATTATCCGTATTCAATCATTAATCAAAATTGCATTCCCACTAAAAGCAAATGACATGTTGTTAAAACGGTAGGATCCAGCTAGAAACCATTAAAAGAGAACATTATTTCATTATTTATTCATTCGTTTTGTTAAAGCGATAACCATCTGAATATGCTTGTAGTTCCTTATTTATTAAACTCGTTCGCATTGTTATCTCAATTTTGCAAAATTGAAGTAATATCAACCTTTTCACGGCACAGAAATTCGTTTCTGATATAATTTTGTTCAATGTGGGATTTACATAAAATGTGGCCAATAGTTAAAGCTATATGATATATAACAAGAATGGTTTGGTGTAAAGAACTCCAAATAGGAAGTATCATGCTTTTATACAAAAGTCTTTACTTTTTGTAAACGAATAGTAACAATAATGAATATACTGTAAATATTCCTAGTTTCTAGGGGTTATATTTTCCTCTATTTTAATGGCGTCTGTTGAAAAATAACCATCTTTGATCCATTCATAATGTTTGCAAAACTAAAGTTTGAACCGCCGAAATCTCAAAAATGCAAAGTCATCAGCGTGCCTTCTTTTACAGGGTGGTGCACGACAACTCCACGAATTCCTGATGAACAACGCCTGTACCAATCCCTCATGGTGGGCTACGAGAAATCCGTCCGACCCGTCATAAATGCATCTACCATATTAATGGTCAAGTTTGGTCTTCGACTCAATCAGATCGTGGATCTGGTAAGTGAAAATGAGTAAACAAGCCTGTATGTTACACGCAGATACTGGTGTATACATAACGATATTTCGTACCACAATCAGGTCTTATTTCATATCCTATTTTCAAAAGGGATCCCGGTCTCTGCATGGTTCTTAAAGAATTGTGTGAGCAAAATAATCCGATGATAGACACCCACTAATAATTTTGTTTAAGAAAGGAAAAGGAAAGGAAACGAGGAGCATATTTAAATAGTGGCGATTCTTTTTACCTTATCTCGCAATTTGAGGAAATGTTAAGGATAGAAAGATACGGAGACGGCCCGTTTTTAAGAAATCATAACAGAGGAACACAAATGAACAAAACACACAAGGAGCTGGAAAGCGTGGCATTATCCCCCGCAACCCAGCTGTTGGTGTAAAACCCAAATATGATCTATATACCGGTATAACAATTTGTGACATCACGCAATTATGTACCGTTAATATCACGTGAAGGTCTGATACAGCGAAAGCGATATTGCAAAATGTAACGCCTTCCTTTGTCAGTTATCAATTACATGTACGTGTATCACATGAACTTAAGCATTATATATATTTATATATATCGGCCTTGTAGTAAGAGTTTACATCTTGATGTAGATCCTGTGTGTTTGACTGTTAATATTTGAACAGAGTATGTTATTGTAAATGAATAAATTTACGCAACACGCTATAAGATTGGTGTAACACACAAAAACATAGGAAATCGAAATATTTGATGATAACAGAAAAAATATACTATATATCCATTAGATATTCCAATGTCCTCAATAAGAAAAGACATAAATAGTACACTAACCCAATATAAACAGAAGGTTCTGGGGATTCAGTGAGATAATTTCGAAGTTGTCGCCCGGAAAGGAAAGTTAACACTAATTTTGTGGTTTTGACTTTAAATCCATGGTAACAGATAAATGTATGTAAATCTTTCTTTTGTTCATATTTTACTCTAATTTTATGGCATTTTAGTTTTGGTAAATTGGCATTTTCTTTGTTTTTTCAACTTTACAACTTCATTTCAAGGGAACTTGCCAATGTCAGAATATTGACATTAATGCTTTATTTGAAAGACATCGAAGGAAACTAATGTTGTTACGAAAGGACAATTTATCAAGAACTTCGAACCCTTTTGGTTATAAAATGTCAAACGAGAGAAATGTCCTAATTGTCCCCATGACAGTTCTACAGGAAATGCCGTGTTCCGAAGTCAGGATGATCGCAAACAAACATTCGCACTTTCTGCGTCAAGGCAAGTTCCTGATGCCAAGGCGAGATGAATAACGTTGCATATTAGCATTTATTGAGAATAATACTATTGAAATGTATTACAAATACCAGGAGAAGTTATATCAATTTGGATAAGAAACATTTTTTTTACGCCATTCAAAGTCCTCCCGTTCCACCTTGTAAAACGCGAAATAATCGTTATTGATATTTAGGTCACACACGTATATATGCATATTATTTAAAGAATGTGTTTGCAATTCGTGTAGAGACCGCTTTATGCTTTGATATGGAAACCCAGTAAATTTCTGATCGTGAATTTAAAGAGAAAAAACTTTCTTCTACATTAAGTTGTCAAGGGCTCTCATCGTTTTGTAGAGGTCTTTGTCAACATTAATTAAATAAATTTCCTTTCTTTTTAAATCTAGGACATTCCCGAGAAAGCTAAAAAAAAGTGCCAGAAAAAAAAAAATGAATTTTACTCCTTAGATAAACGTAGAGCTAAAGATACTCATAATGTTCTCAGTTGAACATTTCTTTATTTTACTCGTAACCATCTCTGATGATTACTTATCATGGAAGTCTATCCCCTCGGATTACTTTTATGAACCTTGTTTAGCACTCTTGTGTCGACCGTTTTGTTATCGCCTAAGTGAAATCTTTTATTACATACTTAGTATTTCTTATCCCTAAATTAATATTTTTTACACATATTCGGAATACCTCTATCAAATCAGTCAATGCTTTGATTCTTTATCGTATTACTACAATGCATCATTGTAGTAACAAGTAGTTGTATAAAACAAAAAGTACTTGGTTGTCGGTAAATTGCCATTTTCCGCTGAGCGAAATAATTGACATTTTCCAGATGATAGCTTAATTTGCAATAAAAATCATTCCACTGAAGAAATTGTCATCGTTTACATCATCCCAATAGCAATGCTCTTGTTCACTCAGAGTGTTAGCAATTTTTACCATGGCGCATATTTAGACGGGAATCACCACAACTTTGTAATAATGTCTTCAATGGAAAATGCTATTTTTCATAAAAAAAAATAGTGTATAACATTTACTCCATATCCACCGAGTACACATTTAGAAAGATATAATTTAATAAACATTATCTTAATTAAAACCCTGGCCTATCTTTGCATAATTGGTTAATTCCATTTCCACACTCGGTGATGAACATTTGTGCGAGCCAAGACCCCGCGGACTTGTTTGCTAAATAGATTTTTTTCTGGTGCCGTTCCCTTTCTCCCAAATCATACTTGCTACCTCTAGTAAGGCAGATCGATCTGGCGTTGTAGACTATGCTGGTATATGCCGTAAAGAGATAATGTATTGATATACAATTACAGCCACAGCAGCCAAAATCTTTGTTGTTTATTCATGAATGAATATTTCCCCTACGTCTTACACATTGAATGGTTCCTAGAATTGACAGTGGTTCTGCCTACAAACCGTCACAATCATGCTATCATAAATAAGATTCTAGCGAACTTTAAACTTGAAATAAATATGATTTGAAAAAAATTCCAGAACTCAGGTTTGGTTAAGAGGCCATCGATTTCTAGGATCTGTCACATCTGAAAGAACATCGTAGTCTCGCTTTGCACATCAAAATAACAGACACTATCTTTCAGACAAAAATATTTTCATGAGTGCTTCTTTTTTCAATTTTTTTTCTCAATTTTTCACTGTAGTATTTGGAAACATGCAAACTGCATGTAATTTTGAAGCACGAATAACATCATAGATAAAGACAGTTAAACGATGTTTTTTTAATAATTTTATTCTAACGGAAGTAATTTTTCTTCTGCGTATTCAATAAAATCCAAAACATTCTGGTGTTATTTATTTATACATCTAAATGTGTGTGTGTGTGTGTGTGTGTGTGTGTGTGTGTGTGTGTGTGTGTGTGTGTGTGTGTGTGTGTGTGTGTGTGTGTGTTGCTGTTGTTGTTGTTGTTGTTGTCTAAAACATTAACCTTATTCTACATTAATTGTTTTGTTCACTGCAACGGTAAAGTTACATTGAGGCATAAGGTTAACGTTAGTCAAAGAGAAATATTTTCTCGCGTCATCCTAACTGTGGAACATCTATTAGAATATTTCAACTGCAACTAACCTATTATACCTATGGGAATGCTAGAGTACAGTGCTATGTCCTAAAATCTTGTCACCAACACTTTATACACAAGAAATTCTTTCCTTTTTTTCATTTTCGGCCACCAGGTCAGAGGAATGTCCTGCATACTATGTCGCATGCAATTAACACATTTTTTGTAAATAAGAATCTCTTGAGATGCAGCATTGTATTGTACATCTACAGAGTAAGTTTTTTTTATACTAAATCTTGTTTGCACTCCGTGATAGGTCATAGCTTGCATTTGGGCCCAGTTCTCGTTAAAGTGAAATCTCTCGTTCCCAGCGATATTGTACTTTTATGAGGTGGTAGGTCTTGTGTTATATGCGTAGATGTTCTTTGTAGCAGTCTCTTCCTTGATGCAAACATTAACGATGGAAAGCAATTAATAATTAATAAGTATTGCGTCTATAGCTGCTTCCAGATAAGAATATTGAAACGGAGAAATTTGAATAACGCTATCTTGCGAACATATGTAGCATGTACATAAACTGTGTATGAAAAATTAGATACGTTTAAATAAGAATATCTAATGGATAATATTGTGTATAAAATTCAGGGAATTCAAGTCGAAGGCCAAATCAAGGTCATAGACCGAGCCTTTGTGATGTGACTGTATTTATTGATTAGGAAAATGGTGTGCTCTTTGTCAGATATATGAAATGCACGCGGGATCACTGGTCTGTATCATGATAATCTATCGACCTGTGCATTCGTTCAGTTCCTTGCTGTAAAGAGGTTGAGAATGATAAAAAACTGTTTATATATATAAACAATACATCCAAACAAAAACGTAAACAGACCCTCTGAAAAGGAGGAGCCTCAATAACCATGGCGTTTCGTTCTAGGAAAGCATTAATTGAACGCCATCTCGCTACAGCATCTTGGTAACTTTGTGAAGATAAATGATATGTGTTTGTTTCCTGGATGGCTAGACATTGGCACAACCGAACCGCGTTGTTTTGACTAAAATGTGATAATTGTATAGTGCATCGGAAGAGACACTTAAAAGTACTTCACATATATATATACTGCCCCGATACTTGACTATCTCAACACCTATGTCAAAGCCAAGTGACCATATCGGATGATAAATGTTTGCATCATCGGTCGGCAAAACCTAAATAGGATATTGACTACCTGTACGTTTTAAACATATAAACTTAATTGTAATATTTAATATGAAATGTATTGTCAATTCATTCATCAATTGCTATGTGTAATAAATATTGACACGGAAGCTTCTCTCCCATTTTCAATATAACCAGTCATTAAAAATACAAATCGAGATGTATCTATGGATTAAATAAATGTAAGTTTTATATTTCACCTATCTTTACCTATCTTTATTTGTGTACTTTTGTTATTTACAGGATGAGCGACATCAGGTGCTCACAACGAATGTTTTTATAGATCAGGTAAGTTGATAAACATAATTACATTTGATATGAAGACATTTACTCCAGTGTCGTCATAATGTAAATTTTCTATAAAAAAAATAAATCCTTCAGCCATTAAATGAAGTATTTGTGTGTATTTTCTTAAACTGAAGACATTCATGTTGCTAGGTAATGCTAACGGTGACTAGCATAACAGTTCTTTATATTGACAGGTTTACCTGCTTTAGTAAACTTTTCCCTGTTCCGTATTTTAGTATGAATTGCTCCGAGTCTGTCGATCCACACTTTCGTATGTTCGGCGCTTTGAACCAGAATTGATATAATTCGGATATCAAACATGCTTTGATGGGTTAAATCTACTTCTTCGAGCAGGTTTTTGGCATTACGGGTTTCAAATTGTCAATGCATGTCTTTGTTAAGATTATTTGAAATTTGTTAACTCTTCAGGATTTTTTTTTTCACTTGAACATTTTAAAGTATACTTTGTAAGAAAGGATACTTTTGATCCATTCCGTAGGTAGGGAGTTCACAGTCCGTTCTGCAGAAATTGTGCCTATCTTAACTGTAAATTATTAAGATTTCGCGAATACTTAATTTCGCGAATTCACCTGTTCAGACATATTCATGAATACATGATTTCGTGATCGCTGATCTAGAAATGACTTTAAATTCGCGACCAGAACTCTTCGAAACTCCGATATCGGCAACCAAATCAATAGGAATGCCATTCAGCGTTATTTTTGTACAAATAATCACAAGGAATTGAAGTCGCAATTAACTCTCCTGCGCATTAACGCGAAAATAAATCCCAAGCGAACTACAAATGATTTACAGTGTTCTTACTGCGATAAACTACTTATATATACAAAACAAAAGTCTCAGAATTAGAATAGATGAGTTTTAAAGCCTTATCATTCACAAAGGAATACATGCAGTTTCTATTTTTGTCTGATTAAAGGTTCTAAATGGTCTTTTTAACCTATTCTACTAATCTTGATTTGTGAAGTGTTCATATTATTTCATAGGGAAAAAACCGTAGATCTCTTTATTGTTGATTTAAAGTTAAACATACCGTATCATGTGTAATTCAACTATGCAAAAAAGTGGAATTATTTAGTCTGCGTTCAGTTCACAAAAGCATTCAATTATTTTCATGTTTATGCGTAATAACATATGACGTCAAAGAAAAGTAATTAAAATGTCGAAATTTATAACATTATCAAAAATAATTTGATAATGTTATCCCATACCCCACCATGTGCAATATCCGCTTCTGTGTACAAACTAAGAAACACGTACATGCACTAGTTTACATTCCTTAAGCTTAGGAATGCATTTGCATAAAAATAGGTTCAAGTTGGTTATCGTCATTTTGTTGAAATAATAACCTGGCCCACAGATAATTACTTGAAAATACCTTGGCTCTAAGCTTAAAGACGTAGATGATCACCATTAAAGTTCTGCTCAAATTACTAATTGGCTTTTGAACATGGTTTGGAATTCACTTGCATTCGTTTCGAATTTCCTGTATTTCTCTGATTGCTAGACAATATGGCAATAGTTAGGAGTACGTGTTCCGAGCCTTTATTCTATTCTAGTACAATAATTTGTTGTAGAAATCAAAACAATATGTCATTTAATTCCTAGTGTAACCGCAGTTTAAGCGACGCTTATCATGTATTTCATTTTCACCATGGGATGCAATCGAGTTGTGAGAAACGTTATCAGTGATATGGCGTACAGATCAGATGAACGTTTTAATCCCGCTCTTGTTATCATTACCGTCTCCAGTGAGAAGGTTTATGTTTCAGGCAAAATTAAATTGTCTTTAAAACTAATCCCATTTGCTGAACGATCGATTACAATGGAAAAGAACACATTTTATTTCGACAAGGTTGATTAGTGAAACGACCGTCATTCACTAATTGTGTTTTCTGAAAAAAAAGAGAAATGGTCATGCAGTCTAGTTTATCCTCAAAACTGTTTATTCGATAGTAACTTATTTTAGGACTTTCCTAAAGTTTCATTACCAGCAATCTTGCCTGTTTAAGGGAGATAACTCGTACTGCACCTTAAATCCCAATCGGGGTCAAGTCGGGATAATCATGTTACCTGTACATTCTATACATAGGACCAAAGTCAGACTGTGATAAACATACTTGACCTTTTATTTCCTTTACAGAATAACAACATTAAATCATTATTATTATTGTATATATTTTATTTTTATTTCTGTCATATCAAGAAATATTTTATCATTGGTACAATGCTAACAATGAAGTTGACGGTAGAAATACATACATGAAAATAAATAGAGCTTTAAGAATACAATACAAAATGTACACATAAATCAAAGTTTCAAATTTATGTCGGTGGCGATTAAAAAGTGTAAAATATAACGACACAGCAAAAAAATTCATTGTGATCCTGAAACCGTAGTGTGTATTTCAGTCAATATGACTCCGTTCATTCTCCAAGAATAAATCTATCAGTTTTTCTTTTTTTTGAAGTTTTGTTTTGATGCCTAAGTCTGCTAATTTAGCCTTAATTTCCGAAACAGACATTTCATTTAATTCGTCAAGAGTACTTTTTTCCCATTTCTCGGTGATGTTTGTTTTGCTTTGAATTTCTTCCAAAATTTTGGTTTTTTTCTTTCTTCTCCTGTCAAAAATATCCCTTTCCCAGTAATCAGCGTTCCTTTTCTCATAACATCTGGGCAACCTTTGCATTTCGCTACACATTTCCATACGTTTTCTAACTTTAAGGACATCTACAGTGGGGTCAACTTTGTTTGTTTTTTGATGATAAATTCGTTTGATGTCGTCATTTGTTTTTTCGACACTTTGTCCGCTAAATTTTTTTAATGACCCGAATTTTGACACGAAATGGGGGACGTGGTACAGCAAACAATGCATATAGGGGGTGATGTTTTCTGGTTGGTACCCTTTTCTAACTCTGCTTAAAGCGAGGAAGGAGTCTGCCCATGCTTTGCATTTGCTAAAGGTGTAGTCAGCTGTCTTATGTTCACATTCTTTCGAACAAAGATAGCTCAGCAGTTCCGAAAACCCACGCCAAATACAAATGGTTTGGTCCAGTGTATTGTTATGAACAACAAAGCAAAGTTTCTCTGGTAAATGTTGAACAACTTTTTTCACATCCACCCCAGTTAGTGACGACCACTCTAATTCCCCTTTCCCGTATTTTGTTGACCATACATTAAAACTGACCCCACATGACCTTATTTGTGACACTAGAGAGTCTAAGTAGTCAGCTTTTTCGTTTTGTACTTTTGCAGCGTCATCTTTGTCTTTAACGTCATCTATAAGATTTCTTAACAGGACGTCAAATACTCTCATAAGCAGATGGAGCTCATCGGGAATGATGTGATGTTGCTCAATTTCTAGCAGCGGATGGTTTTTTTACCCCGAACAGTTTTTTTGAAGATTTTGAATATATTTTGGTTTCTTCAATGGTCCGAAACATTGTTGCAGAATGGTAGAAATCACATGGTTTTGTTGTATCCCCCCGTTCAGATTTTGAAACTTTGCACCATGGACAGGCGTACTCACTGGTCGATGCCCCCAACCCTGTCAATAAGTTGATAAACTTCATATCGCTCCCAAAAAATAACTCTAAATCATACCTTTTTTCATCAACAATAATTCCCTCTGAATTCAACTCATTGATCTCCTGAAAAATCGGACCGCACGTTGCTTTCAAATTATCGTACGTTTCATTGCAGTTTATGATTCCTACGGTTTTCTGATCTGAGGGACATGAAGAATTTGGAAAGGAAAGTGACAAAATCAGAAAATTTGTGACCCGCCCGACTTTAGCTCCATCCCCTGAAAATTTAACAGTCAACTTCGAATCATTGTGTAAACCACGCCTTATGGCCCCTTCTATTTCTTGCTTAACGCTTACACGAGCACCAGGGATGTTGCCAGGAGTTCTGTCGATCTCTACTTCACCATTCATTGTGTTTCTACAGGATTTAATTTCATGTTTGCTAGGGAGATCTTCTGAAAGGAGACGTATCTCATGATAAGCCTCGTCACTAATGGCAAATCTGTCCAAAATATATATAAGTTTTCTAATGTTGTCTTTGTCGCCCAAACTAAGAGAGTCATAGCTAGGTTCTGTCTGATCAAAGTTTATTGAATATTGCTGACCTGTCAACGATCTAAATTTCAGAACAGACGGTGTCAGGCCAAATGACTCCGCAAACCAGAGAGCTTTTGAAGAACTGGTTTTGATAGTCTCTAGTTTTTTTTGTTTGTTTGTGGGGCTTTTAATTTCATCTAAAATTTTACCTATGTTTTTTGATACTCTGTGGTTTTCTAACAAACTAATCTGTTCTTTTAATTGGCAATTTTCTAATTCTTTGCTATCCAATCTTTTTGTGAGTTTTGAGCGTGATTCTATTTCATCTTGGAGTTGTTCAAATAAACATCTACATTTAGTTTCTAACTGAACTTTATCTTTTTCCAATTTTGAGAGTGTGAAATTCAATGTTTTGAAATCTTTTAGTTCAGATTGAAATATGGAAACTTGCACTTTCTTTTCATTGAATTTTTGCCTTAAGCTACCACTCTTACATGCTGTTTTGTACTGGCTGCATGTTTTATGCGCCAGTGAGTGAAACCTTTCTTCAAGTCTATTTGAATACAGCTGAAAAGCGCTAATCTGAGAATTCAAAATTGCTAAATATGGTAATTCTGGGTTTTGCAATTTTTGATTTTGGAGTTCTCTGATGAAACTATTTGATACTTCAATTGTAAAAGCAACTTGACCTTTACCATGAAAAGATCTTGTGAGAGACGGTGAAACGCAACCAACCTCTAAACTATTTACAAATTTATGTTTTTGGTACGAATCAAAAACGTCAGACATCTTGATGTTAGTACAAGCAAAACTTCAATAATAAGAAAAAATAAGCAAACGCATGACTAGCTACTATTAAGACTAACTAAATCAAAGTTATAAAGTTGCTGGTGCACACCAGTCACAGCTATTAG